GGGGGGGAAGAGAGAGAGAGAGAGTACCACCCACAGCGATTTAAGAGTGCAGAGAAAGAGAAGTGGCTGGAGAATTTTCCCGGGTCCGAACACTCGGTAGTGATGTTTTAATTGGAGACTGAAGTTGAAAGGGTGCTTCCATGGATATGGGGTAGATATATGTATGTTGGACATTCTAAGGGGTATAGTTCTGATTTTTTTTCTTCTCTGTCTTTGATACGTGTCAAGCATTTGAATCACACCCTCCACTTTACAATGGTCTAACACAGTTCAAGGGGATCTTGGATCCCCTTTTATCAAGTTTGGGTGTATAACGGGGCACCTGCAAAGTTAAGGTGTTCAAGGGTTTTTTTCTCAAGTTCGGGGGGGAGGGGGAGGGGAATATGTATCAAAGCTAATAATAATGATGCTGATAATCGCCCTGTAATTGCCCAGCCAAAATATCATAGACTTCCTTTTCTAGATACAATATTATAGATCTTTGAGCCTGTCATTGACTTATCAAAAAGATTTTGAGCCTGCCATCGCCATCTACTATTCCTTGCTGTGTATAGAGGAATTAGTTTCTTTCTTTTGGGGTTTGTGGTTGGGGGGGGGGGGGGAAGGGGATTTGATTAGTTTATAGGAGTTAAATTGACAGTTAATTAGATTATAGCATATTAAATTCTTTCTTGTAATTAATCATATACTTATACATGAACTTCGCTCCTCGAAGTTAGCTTTGAAGCTGGGGTTTAGCGTGGTCTAATATGAATCATGGCAAGGTTCTTTTATGGCTAATGCAGGTTGGTTTAGATCTTGTGTAGTTGGATCTCTCTAGTTCCACTTATTACTAAAATTGCAATACTTTCCAAATACAGGGCATTTATGGTGGGTCACATGATAGGAGACATCATAACAGGCAATGTGACAGAACCTGAAATAGTCATAAGTGCATCTCCATCAGTGGGTGGGTTGTTGGATTCTCTCACTGGAAGTATTGGTATCTCAGCAAGAGCAAAACCTGTAGCTGCTCCAGTTGCAGGATCCACAGCTTCTGGAGCTGCAACCAGTGGAGCAATGGCATCTGATGCTCCAAAGATTGGTTTGAGGCCCCTAGATAGAGATGCTATTCGCTCTTTTATAAGCAGTGCGATGCCTTTTGGTTGGTAATCTTTATTGTGGTATCTACTATTGCACTTTTTTTGTCCATGTTTGTGTGACTTAATTGAAGGATTTACTCTTTGCTGAAAAAAGCCGTCTACCTTAAATGTAGGCACCCCTCTGGATCTTAACTACACCAACATTTCAGCTGTCAAGATAAATGGATTTTCTTCAGCAGATATCCCTCCTGCAGACCAGAAGCAACCAGCATGGAAGCCTTATCTCTATAGAGGGAAGCAGAGAATTCTGTTCACAATTCACGAGACAGTCCATGCTGCCATGTATGATCGCGATGAAATTTCAGATAGCATTACAATTTCAGGTCAAGTTAACTGTCGAGCAGAATTAGAAGGGTTGCCCGATGTGATGTTCCCACTTATAGGTTTGGACACTGCTCGTGTGGAGCTATTATCCTTCCACCCCTGTGCTCAAGTTCCAGAGCATGGTAACGAGAAGCAAGCACTTATGTTCTCACCACCATTAGGAAATTTCGTATTGATGCGTTATCAGGCACTTTGTGGTATGCGGCCTCCGATCAAGGGTTTTTATCAGCTTTCAATGGTTTCAGAAAATGAAGGTGCTTTTTTGTTTAGGTTACGGCTCATGGAAGGTTATAGAGCTCCTCTGTCAATGGATTTCTGCACAGTGACAATACCTTTCCCTAGGAGACGGGTGCTTTCTTTTGAAGGGACACCTTCTATTGGAACAGTTTCAGTTGCTGAACACTTTGTTGAATGGAAAATTATAACAACCGGTCGAGGAGTATCAGGAAAGAGTGTTGAGGCAACATTTCCAGGGACAGTAAAGTTTGCTCCATGGCAACCTCAAAGATTGCCTTCCTCAGGGGCAGTACTTGGGAATATGGAAGATGAAGAGAGTGATGCCGAAACAGAGTCGACGAATAATATGGCGAATGTGGAAGACTTTTTAATGGAAAAAATGAATAAGGATCTTCAAGCAGTTGATTTGGAGGAGCCATTTTGCTGGCAAGCATACGATTATGCTAAAGTAAGTATTCTGTATAGCAACTTTAGTTGTAATGCTTCCTCTTTCATGGATTATTTTGATGTGAGCTGTCCAGACAGCTAAGATTTCCTTTTATTTTTCCATATAAACTCCTTTTTTTTTTGTAAGGTAAACAATTCTATTAACAGTGGGGAAAACTCCCTAAAACCTCGCTTCCTGTTTGGAACATCATTCCTGCTGCTATACGCTGGATCATTTGGAAAGAAAGAAATGCTAGGATTTTTGCAGACAAGAATGACACTGTACTTAAGCTTAAACACAAATGTATATTCTTGTTTAGTTTTTGGTGCAACATGGCTGCGCCAAACTTGTTAGAGCCCAAAGCTATGTTGAACTTTATCTGTTCATTACAGTCTCTATGATGCACATATCTGATATCTGTATCTTTTAAATGAATATTTCCCAGTTTCTGCTGGTTTCATCAATATGTTTTACCTTATCAAAAAAAAAAAAAAAAAATCCTGCATACATGTAGTATACTAAAAGGTAGAGAATCTACAACATAATGCAATTCTCTATGAATGACAACCAAGCTTTTCTACACACTGGAACTTCATTGGTGCACCAAAAAGAAACTAGGGATAAGAGGGCTTTTCTTTGAACATGCTAGTACTGGAATTTACTGTGAGTTTAGGTATACTAAGTAACCAAACGTTTAAGATTAAGCAAAGAGCTGGCGAAGTCGCATGGAAAAGTTAGGAAGATATTGTCTTAGCAGAGAATGTGGCCCTAGATAGAGCTGATTGAAAAAAGGGGCAGCCCGGTGCACAAAGCATCCCTCGTTCATGCAGGGTCCGGGGAAGGGTACACCTCGGGGGTGTAATATAGGCAACCTACCCTGATTCAAGCAACAATGGCTGATTCCACGGCTCTAACCCGTGACTAGGTCACACGGAGACAACTTAACCGTTGCTCCAAGGCTCCCTTCATAGAGCTGATTGAAAAAAAAAAGAATGAATATATATAGCAGACTTCGTGAAAACTGTTAGACTTCAGGACACTTTTTTTATCAGTATATGTTTTTTAATCGGCAAGGACTTCTTTATACCTGTAGTACTAGTGTTATTCTCGTATTTCCTATTCGTAGATTTCTATTACTACCTGTTGTCTTTGCTTTGGTTATCTTATTTTTTCTGGCTGTGGTTACTGCTTCTCTTTCCATGGCTTCTTCATTACTGTATTTCTTTTTCAAAACTGCTATGATTATGCCTTCATTTAGCCGAGAGTCTATCGGAAACCTCTCTACCTTCACGAGGTAGAGGTAAGGTTTGCTTACACACTACCCTCCCCAAACCTCACTTGTGGGATAACACTGGGTATGTTGTTTTTGTCGTTGATGTTTTGAGTTGGGATCGTACTTGATACCCCATCACAAGATTGCCACCTAGAGAGAGAGAGAGAGAGAGAGAGAGAGAGAGAGAGAGAGAGAGAGAGAGAGAGAGAGAGAGAGAGAGAGAGAGAGAGAGCTTTCTGGGATCAATTTGTTACCACAGCCCATAACCATCAGCACTCCCCATCCATGGAAGTTTCCATTCCTGTCCCTTCAGACAAGAAGAGAATAATGAGAGGAACACAGAGAGAGAGAGACACTATTCAAAACAGAGAAAGAGAAACAGAAGAGTAACAAGGTTAGGCGAGTCCGAAGAGTGCAAATTGACTCTACTAATTTTTGCTTTTATACAGTCAAAAGTACTTCATCAACCTCATAATCAAGATATATTCCTTTTTAATAGTATGACAATTAGCTGATGGGGATATGAACATTTCTTTAAGTTGTTGAAATTAATTGCTTTGTGAAAAGTATATTTATACTCATCATGTGATTGCAGGTTTCATTCAAGATAATGGGAGGATCATTGTCAGGAATGTCTATTGATCCAAAATCTGTAAGTCCTCTATAAATCATCTGTTGTCAAGTTAAGTCTTTCTTTTAGAGAGGAACATTATCATGGAAATGAATCATTAATAGTTCAACATGTGTTATCCTAATTTATTATCTAGATTAGCTTGAAACTAATAATTTCTGAATTATCATTATCTGAAAAATCTTTCCTTTCAATTTTCATTTGGCAAAAATAACTATGTGCATTGTCTCCTTTTTTTTTTCTTTTTTTTTGTGAGTCCATGTATTTGCAACTGAGTTTTACTAATTTTTATCCAGGTTTTTTTTCTTCTTCTCTTCAAAACCATCAAGTTAGTCAATCGATTTACTTGGTCTCAATCCCAAACTTGTTAGGGTATATCCATTTCGAGTCTATTTGGCTCATTTCATTCCAATAGTAGATAACTTATCGTTTGAGGCAAGTTAAGAGTTCTCTAAAACTAGAATTCTCTATATCCTACATTTATCTCTGCAATGACCAACAAATCTCCAATCATACTAGAAAGATTGTTGTCAAATACCGGAACTTATATAAGTGTAACAACTACAACTCATTGGGTGAGTTATGCATGCCTTGATATTGATATTGACGATTTTCCAATATTAACTGGCATATGAGTGCAGATGACAAAGGAGAAGCACTCTAGGTAACTTAACCAATGAGTTATTTGTATTTGGTATCAGTTTGCTGGTTATGAAGGTTACCCATGGTCTATTACTGTAACCAATATTTCTTCCAATCAAAGATTTTCACGTTCCATTAGCATTCAGTGCCCAATTCGAACCAAGTGGACATAATTTTCCTTCAACTTCCTCCCAATTAGGTGTTGTGAAAAGTATCTGCGTCAACTCGTTATTAATTGACTCTAGACTAAAATGTTGGTTAATGCATTCAGGTGCGAAGCTGATTGTCTTTCCCCTAACAGCATATTGATTTGAATCTTTGTTAAGATTCTTGTAGAACTTTAGAACAAGGTCTAGACAAAAATCACCAGGATACTACACGAAAATTTTCCAGCTGTAATACTTGATGATATTAAGGTCTTATCAAAATCGCTATCCTTAGCATAAAAATCAATTCCTTTTTCTTCAATGGGTTTTCGGCCCTTCCATCCTTTGTTGCGTGAAACTTCAATGGGTTTTCGGCCCTTCCATCCTTTGTTGCGTGAAACTTTGGGATAAGGATTCTCTTTGATTGCCATTTGATGATGGTGATGGGTACTTTATGAAGAAGAAAAGTGAAAAAGATGATTGGGGGTAGTGTACGCCACAAAAAAGTGAAGAAAAAGTAAAGATTTAAAATATTCTTGTGGTCCCAAAAATTTTACTTTATAAGAACTAAAAATGGACAGAAAAATCAAACGCTCCACAGACATGGCTGGCTACAAGCAGGGGGCTGGGCAGGGGTGGGTGAGTCTGATGCGTCACAGCAGAAGCGCCATGCATCGTGGCCCTTTTTCCTTAACTCTATTCCTGTCACTATTTGTTAGCATGGTATGTTGTGCAATCATGATTTGGAGTTCAAATGCATTGGGCTCTTGAATAGTATTTTTTTTCCCAGTTTTGCTGAATTACTGTGATTATTTATTTCCCTCTCTACTACGCATTGAACATCGTCCTTCCACAATTTGGGTTCCCCCAATCTTATAAAGATACTTTCTATCGATATAAATTTTATACATTATAAATACACTTCTATATATAAAATTTATGGTTTTATAAATCTCTCTCTCTCTCTCTCTCACACACACACACACACACACACACACACACACATATATATATGTGTGTGTGTGTGTGTGTGTGTATGCCTAAAAATATTAAAGATTTAGATAGACATAAGTATACATTAAAAATAAAACAAGTATTTTATGTAAGTATATTTCTTCACTTTTCTTCTTCACGAAGCACCCATCACCATTATCTAATGGCAAAAAGAATCCTTATCCTAAAGCTTCACGCAATGGAGGATTGAAGGGCCGAAAACCCATTGAAGAAAAAGGGATGGATTTTTATGCCAAGGATGGTGATTTTGATGAGATCACAGTTGATACCATCAAGCATTACAACTTGAAAATTTTCCTGCACCCTCTTGGAGATTTTTGTCTAGACTTTGTTCTAGAGTTCTTCAAGAACAAAGATCCAAATTAATCTATTGTTAGAGGAAGACAATCAACTTCTCACCTGAAAGCTGGACCAATTATTGGTCTAGAGTCAGTTAATGATGATTTTGATGCATATCCTTTCCACAACACCTAATGGGGAGGACGTTGAAGGAAAATTGTGCCCATTTGGTGCCAATTGGGCGTTGAATCCTAATGGAACGCGATTGGAAGCTATATTGGCTAAAGTAATAGTCCATGAGTGACCTTCATAAGTAGTAGATTAATACCAAATATAAATAATTTATTGTTTTAACTAGAGTATTTCTCCATTATGCCATCTGCACTCATATGCCACTTAATGTCGGAAAAATATTCAATATCATGTGTAACTGACTCAAATGTGAGGAGTATTTTCTTCACTCCAACAATAACATCTTTGTTAAAATACTTTGATATATACCTACTCCCCTAAATATTTGTTACAGCTTCTTCAAGAATGATTGGTAAAATTATTTTGAGCAAATGTGACAAACTAATGGTCCAAAAAAAAAACTAGGCAAAATAAAAGACCAAGTCAAGCACGCCCTACCAAATGTACAAAGACAACTAATGCAAAACTGGGAATTATGGCAATTCAATTGGATGGACCGGTACATCAATATGCTCAAGTTGCTGGAAGAATTGATATATTGGAAGAAAAGATGAAAAATAGGATGGGTAGATTGGAAGAAAAATAGAGCGGAGGTTTCATGGAGTTGAGTAAAATGCAAGACACATCGTACAATTTTACTGTGATTTGTGAATTTCCTAATATGATGCGTCTATTGGTGGATCTTGGGAATTTCTTTATTTGCTAGTTTTTCTGCCATTTGAATGGGCAGATCCATCAAAAGCAGCTTGGGAATTCCACAGTTTTTTAACCAAGCTACCTTAGAAAACCAACAACCACTAGCTGATGAAACGCCACTACTGGTTGTACCAAATGGTTCAGATCTAATGTCAACACAAAGCAGTAATATTTTTAATAATTTTCCAGATCTGAACAATATCACTGCTTTTGATGACCTTGCAGGTATTTTTTTCACCTCAAAAGGTAAACCATATATGATAAAAGAAGGTGATCGACATAAAAAAAAAGACCACGAGAAGTAGCTAGGAAAGGAAAGGAGATTGTGACAGGCAGAAGCCTCTTCAGATACAAAAGATAAGGACTATCTGGTTGAGGGGGAATGAAAGAAGAATGGCATCTCTCTCATGCGGCATAGTACATTGAGACCATTGTACCATGTTCATACAATCTCATGTTCCATTGCATTTTCTGGGAAATGCAATTCTCACACCCTGATATCTCATTATTCGTATGCTTTCCTCATCTATCCAAAATCGAGTTCACACTCTATTTTGTTTCCTCACTCATCTTTCTTCCACCTCGTGTAGGAGTATGTGTTTTGTCCATAGCCTTATTCCAGAAAAAACAAGTTAGCCCCTCGTGCTCAATATGTGTTTCTAGGTTACGCGAGGGTGCATAAAGGATATCGGTGCTATTCACCTGACTTCTAGCGGCACCTTATGTTCGCCAATTTTACCTTCTTTGAAAATCAACTATACTTCACCGATCTAGGTGACCTAGGCATTTTTATGGTGTTACTAGTTCCATCTTTCTAGGGATTCTGTCACCATCTCTCCTTCATCTTCTCCCACAGCTCCACCACCTACAACACCTTCTGCATCTCCACCACTCTTGACGCATCATCACCGTTAGTGTCTAGCATTAGGTCCAGATAATTCATGTCTTATACTGGATCCTTCACCTACTGAGGACTTGTCTCTTCCTAGTCCTCCAACTTCTCTTCGAAAAGTTATTCAATCCACACTTAATCCTAATTCTAATTATGTTGGTTTGAGTTATCATCGTCTAGCATCACACTATGATGCCTTTATGTCTTGTTTGTCCTCCGTTTCTATCCCTAAGTCGATAAACGCTCTCTCATCCTAGATGGCAACAGACTATGGTCAAAGAGATATATGCTTTATATGCTAATGGTACTTGGTAGTTTGTTCTTCTACCTCTAGGTAAATCTCCTATTGGTTGTCGATGGATTATGCAGTCAAAGTTGGTCCAGACAGTTAAATAGATCAACTTAATGCCCGCCCTATTGCCAAACGTTATACTCAGATATTTGGACTTGATTACTGTGACTTTTTCCCTCGTGGCTAAAATAGCATATCTCCGTCCTTTTTTTTCTATCCATGATTGATGTTTGCCATTGACCTCTTTATCAATTGGACGTTAAGAATGCTTTTCTCCACTACAATATTGAGGATGAAGTATATATGGAGCAACCACCTGATTTTATTGCTTAGGGGGAGTCTAGCGGTCTTGTATGCCGGATGCGTTGATTCTTATATGGTCGGAAACATTCTCCTCGAGAATGTTTTGGTAAGTTCAACATAGTTATGTAGAAGTTTGGTATGACTCGCAGTGAGGCTGAATGTTCTGCATTTTATAGACATACTGCTCCAAATTTTTGTAGTTATTTGGTAGTTTATGCTGCTGATATATTCATCACGGGCAGTGATCAGGATGGTATAACTAAATTAAAACAACTTCTCCTTCATCACTTGCAAACTAAGGATTTAGGCAGATTGAAGTACTTCCTAGACATTGAGGTCGCTTAGTCCAAATCAGGAATTGTCAATTCACAACTCAAGTATGCTTTATACATCTTGAAGAAATAGGAATAACATGTTGTAGACCAATTAACACTCATATAGACCCGGATGTTAAGCTTTTGACACGACAGGTGGAGCCCCTTAGTGATACTAGAGTTGGTAAGTTGAACTACCTCATAGTGACTCGACCTGGTAGCCTTTCTTGTGAGCGTTGTAAGTCGGTTTACGGACTCTTTGTGTGATAGTGATAGTGATTGTGATGCAGCTATCTGTATTCTTCGATATATAAAATCAGCCCCAGACAAAGAATTTCTTTTTGAGGATCAAGGCTATGAACAAATAGTTGGATAGATAAACACTGATTGGGCAGGATCACTTTTTGATAGGCGGTCTATATATGGATATTGTATTCTGGTAGGTGGTAATTTGGTACTTGAAAGAGTAAAAAACCAAATGTGGTTGCTCGATTTAGTGCAAAAGCAAAATACCGTCCAATGGTTGTGTCAACTTGCGAACTAGTTTGGATCAAACAATTGCTCAGGAAATTAAAGTTTTGAGAAATCGATCGAACTTATGAGTTATAACCAAGCTGCTATTTTGCATCAAATCCAGGGTTTCATAGAGAACTAAACACAAGTTCGACTATCACTTCATCACAGAAAAGATACTTTAGGAGACATTGTTACAAAATTTGTGAAGTCAAATGATCAACTTGTAAATATTTTTGTCAAGTTCCTCACTTGTTCTCGTCTCAGTTACATTTGTAATAAGCTTGGTACATACCACTTGTATGCACCAACTTGAGGGGAGTGTTAAGAATGTTGTAAGAATATTGTAAATAATACTTTATGATCCCTTCGTCCCAATTTATGTGATGTTGTTTGATTGGGCGGGAGTTTAAGAATGAAAGAACATATGGCTATAAATCATCATCTCATTTAGGGTATTATGAGAAATTTAAAGTTAAATTGTTATTAAATCTAAAAAGGAAAGAGTCGCATAAATTCGACAAAGGGAGTATCAATTATGATTAATTTGATTTGATTTGATTGATTGTGTAATTAGATAGAATATTTCCTTCCTATCTTAGCACTTATAGTGACTATTTAAGACTCGGTAGCTTTAGGGAATAATCAAGGTGTGTTTTCACTCATTTCTTTCTTCCTATCTTCCTTTTCCTCACACTAACTCTTAGTTGATTTACTTGGTATTGTTGTTAATTAACACGATATCTTGTGCAAATAACATGCACCATTAAGTCTTATCTTGCACACTATTGGTTAGCTCATTCATAACTAGGGTAAAAAAATACGGGCTTATCCCAAGTGAAAATCCGCTCTTATGGGAGGGTATTTTTAGGTCTTCTCTTTTCCGTTTATTGCATTAGTTGATGTTGCTAATTATTTGTTTTTCACATGTTAATTATGTCAGGTAGATTTCCTTTTATTTGTGAAAATTAATCTAAGTGCTTATTGGTCCATCCCACTTTTCCTAGGCAATAGTAGATTCAACCTACTTCTACACTTCACATCTCTTTCTTAAGCGTACAAACTTCGCATCGGACTATTCTCCGCCTTGAACATCTAGATGAAAGCAAATTACCATCGGTTACCTACTCACTGCATCATATGCTTGAACTGCTAACTGTCAGCTCTAGGTTTGTGCTGTTAGCAGTTTCTCAGTCACAGGGATTCTTAGGTGCTTTATGTTTCCTGCTTATATTGATATTTAGTTACTGCTCTTCTTAATGCGATAAGCCATTGCAGGTAAGCATTTTCCCTGCTGTTAAAGCACCTGTGGAATTTTCAACTCAGGTATTTTTTGTTATCAGTTAAATAACATATTCTTGATGGTTCTCTAGCTTTATTTGGGTCTGCTTATTACAGCAGCTGTTCGACATCTGCAATCAACCCTGTCTTTTGAGTTATTAAAATCTTTAGTGGTCTGACTTTGGTATTATTGTCACAGGTGACTTCTGGGGATTATATTTTGTGGAACACACTAGGAAAATGTCCTGTTGCTTCCACACCCAAAGCATAGAGATGCAAAATATATTGTTGGCATATCTGTTAGGAGCAATGACAGACGGTTATCTTGTTGGATGGCTGCTGAAATTGAGAGGCGAGCGACAAAGAGGCTGTATGCAAAAGAGATGTATAGTGGGACCATTTGGTGACCAGTTCCTCTTGCAGTTAGATTGCACTAGTAGGAAGTGGATGACTCATGTTTCTTGGCATTTGGTATTTGTGGCACAAGATTATTTAAGACGTGTACAACTACTTCTTGGATACTCAGGTCACACATAATCAGTTAGCTGTATAGTATGAGAACTAACTGCATACTTGCTTGTGTTGTCTTGGTGTTTCTACTAGGTGAAAGATACTCTTCCTAGAGAGACCGAGTCTCGTGCCTTCTGCTGTTACAGACATGCTTTACTTGATCAGCAGTTTTCCCCTTGCTTCATTCGAATTTTATAGAACTGGAAAGATGCTGAGATTTCTAGCTCTAAGAAGCGTTTGGTTACTGGGTCTTTTACCTCCTGATGTAACACACATTTATCTGGTGTTTGGTTATGGGTATTAGCTCATACTGGTTTATATTTTATACCAAAATCTTGGTATTCTTTATCCTACATTGAATGTGGCATAATAATCCCAGGATTATAATCTTCCGAACCAAACAACCTCTTAGTGAATTGCTTTTTATTTGTGGGGACACTGGAGTTCATTGAATTGGATCCCTTGACTGAAAGGGTTCTCTGTGTTGTAAGATAAATCTTTTTAAGCCTAATATATCCTGTTGTTAGCCTTATGGATTCATGAAGGAAACATTCAAAAATTAACACTTAACCTTTACAATCAAGAAAAACGAATGTACAAAGCCTAATAAGGGGAGAACAATTAAGTTCATTCACTTTCGTGAATTCCTTTCTTAGCTATCGATGTCTAATATACCTGTAGACTCTTTTAGCTTCATTCTTTAGATTACAAGGCCTAAGGATTCTACATCTCAAGCCTTAGGACTATTAGCTGTAATCTTAATCATTCTTCCCTGACAATGTCTTACAGTGCAATTATATTGCATCTATGTTTGCACCATTTCATTTTCAAATGCAGCAAGTTCTCTTTCTATCAATCTATCTTGAGTTCTATTCAGTTCTCTCTCTCTCACTCTTCTAATGCAACTCTGGTTGAACGATACAGATCGTACGGTGCCCACAAGTAATCGATGGTACAGGGCTTTCGAGCATCCAGTCTCAACCATGGCTTACCCTTGCCACTCCAATGCAGTAGGCTGATGGGTCCAGGGTGAAGTCCCCTACATTTTCCTTCAAAGTTGTCACCACCTAATCCATGTTGGTTCCATCTATGATCAACTGCCTTAATGTTTCCTGCAAACACAAGCAGAATTGGAGGCAAAGACCCCAAATGGTAAATTCTTCTTTGCTTTTGTATTAACATCCATTCTTCAACCTTTTGTGTGTACCCTCCTTTCCTCCATTCATCAAGATCCATCACCATTACACCTGTGTTGAAGTAACATGGCCGTCTTCCCTCAAATGTTTTCGCCAAATTCACGTCCGACCAAAATGTATCTGTAAAATAGTTTGTAAAGTTTGCATGGCAATATTCTGGGGCAGCCAAGACTTTATCTCCCAAATCCACCCCCCATAACTTGGCAATATCATCCACAACAATGATATCTGAGTCCAAGTAAATTACGCGATGCACGTCCTTGGGGAGAATATCTGAGAGGTAAATTCTTGCATAATTTAAAGGTTGATCCAGGGCTTGTCTAATTGACTTGGATATCTTTCCCCTAACACGATTAGGATGAAAGTGGTAGATTTTGTAGCTTAGGTAAGGGAAAGTGGAGTTGATAAGGGAAATAATCTCAGGCTCAAGATGAATGGAAAGGAAATGAAAGGAAGTGTTTTCTGGGCATGTTGAATGTTGCAAAATAGACAATACTGCAGCCATTGTGCCCCTAATGTAATTGGCATCAACAGGCATTACTATTTGGATTTTGTCTATGTCACGTGAGCTGCATGCATTGCCATTGCGAAAGGCAGGTGCTTCTCGGAAGGAAGGTATGTCATCGGAGGTAGGTTTTTGGATGGCAACAACGCGAATGGCGTTAGCAAAAGAGGAGGAGGAGGTGGTGGTGGTGGTAGGATGTAAGAGGAGGAGGGAAAGAAGGCCTAAGATTGGAAAATAGTTAGAAGATGAAGAAGAAGAAGGGACATTTTTGTTCCAAAAGGCCATCCTTCCTTGAGCTACATTTCTTGATTTTTTTTTCTTGGGCTAATAATATGGATGTCAAAAGAGCGGGAGAGTATTAATCCGTGTTCAATACGTGCTTGACTAACTCAAAAGAAAGTAACCTTTAGAGAGAAAAAAGTGGTCATTAAACGAGGTTGTTAATGGAATTGTTTTAGTGATAATCTAGATTAGTGGTTCTACATTTAAGGGTATACAACAGAAGTGAAATTTTATCATGAAATGTAGGGATGACCGATATTTTTGCGAGTACAGCCATTTATTTTCGATGTCCTAAATTATTGCCCATGCAAAAACTTTTGCAAATTACATGTTTTATAGGGTGCATCTTCAGAGTATCAGCTACCATCTTGACATTATCCCTAATCATGAAAATATTAGGAATGTCTAAAATCGTGGTATGCACATCTCTAGTAGATCGTTTCTTAAGTTTAGTAATAAGGAAAAGATCACAATTTTCCGTTTGCTCAGATAAAATTCTAGTGAAAGATAAACTTCAAACATTTAATTTCTTTTAAATCATAAAATAATGGAACTAAATTGTTAATAAATATATCAAAATAAATGTTAAAACCAAAGTATTAAACAAAAGTTGTGCCTCATAACTAGTAGAAGATAGATGGAACTTTTTTGCATTTTGCACGAAATAAATAAATATGATACGTTATTTATTTATTCATTCTATAATTTCGTGTGTATCATGCTGCGATTTTAGTAGAAGACACAACTATTTACTTCGGCAAAACAAGAGTTTTTTTTTGGAACCCCTGGAAAACCCGCAGCCGCTACAGCCTCTGTCCTTCGGGTGAGCGCTCTGTGGTGAGCACTCTGTGCGCACTGGGTAAACCCCCCACTGTGTAATAGCCTGCAAACCACACAGGGGATGTAAACCGCACTAGGCAAGCCCCGTGCGACAGGCTCAGACCCGACGGCATTGAGGGGGGATCAAACCCGCGTCGCCCGTGTGGACAACTCCCTCCAAACCCAACTGGGGCGTCCCTTCGGGACGACAAAACAAGAGTTAATACCCTCAAACCCGCCTAAATTATACGATTTTTGTCAGTTTCCTACCTAAACTATCGAGTGTCCCCGGTAACCCCCTGAACTATATCCCCTTCGTAATAACCCCCCCCCCCCTCCCCCCGGTCGCTTATGTGGCATATTGTGTGAAACCAGTTGCGCAAGAGCGCGTGAACGGTGAAAATCAGCATGAAAAGGGGCCCACCTGACAGCTTGAATAACAGCTAATTAGCCCATTTATTTAAAAAAAACTTATATTTTATCCCTTTTTCTTTATATTACACCATCTTCTCCATTATTTCACCTTTCTTCACCATTTCTTCACCCTTTTTATCTCTTTCTTCATCTTAATCCATTTGAAATTCTCTCTCTGTTTATTGACAAGCAGGAAGATGTAACACCTCAAAAAAAAGACCCAGTTTTTTCTACTACGAACTAAATCGCAGCACCTACCTATCATAATTTCGCAACAAAATTAATAAGGAATAAAGAATAAAACCTGTATTGAAGCAATCTTCTTTAATAATCTTCAGATTTTTCAAAGAATCGGAGGAAGATATTTCACCAGCAAAATCCTAAGCCCTAATTTTGTTCTGATTCACCAGCAAAACTTTCACCTTTATTCCAACTTCGAAATAGCAGCGACTAGTTTTGAAGAGGAATCGATGGTAGCAGCGACTAGTTTTGAAGAGAAATCAGAGGAAGATGATCGGAGAAGAGATGTTGAAGGTCCGATGAGAGTTTTCTCCGATGGGAGTAAAAGGACATTTTTTTTACTGAGAGTAAATGACCCTCTTTACTGAAGGGAACGAGTAAAAACCCACCCAATTATTTTGACTGAGAGTAATTAACTTATTTTAGGCTAATTAAGTCAATTTTATGATTAATTAGATTAATTATCCACGTGGCATGCCACATGGCATGTTTTATAATTTATTAAGAGCGTGTATCATACGCACTAGGGCTAATGCGACCGGGGGGGTTATTACGAAGGGGGATATAGTTCAGGGGGTTTCCGGGGACACTCGATAGTTTAGGTAAGAAACTGACAAAAATCGTATAGTTTAGGCGGGTTTGAGAGTATTAACTCGCAAAACAAAGGAGATTTTGGGATTTTGGGCCCAGCGCTGGGCTTGCTTATATTTGCTAGAAGATCATTAAATATGGGGATTTTTTTGTATATGTACGAGATTTTAAATTATTTATTCGATTTATCTAAGTTTTTTTATTTACAGAATACAATTAAAAAAAATTCACAAAATATATACAAATTCGGTCAAAAAAAAAAAACGTACAACTTATGTACAATTTTTTTTGTATAGAATCCAATCAAAAACTACAATTTACATACAATTGTGTTAGTTGTATATATTTTACCGTTTCTACACCCGACATACAAATTATGTACACTTTGTTTATGATCTTCTTCTTTTTTGAGTTTTAATCTGAAATTCCAACCAAAACCACCTCGAATCTTCACCAAATTCTCTCAAAATTGAGATATAAAGTATAAGCTATAAAGGATATTCTCAATCATTTGCAACAACAATCAATCCAAATAATAATAATTTCACAAAATTTAATTTTCGAATTCAAAGCTTCTAAGCATTTTAACGGTTGTCAATAGAGTTTCGCAATATCAATTACGTTCTAACTCTAAAATTGTTAAAAAGGAATTTTCGTTAACAAACAACCAGATTTTCGATGTCGTTTAACTAATTTTCATTTTAAGTGTCGTTTAAATAATTTTCATTTGAACTATCATTAACGCCTAATTGGATGTCCATGCTCATAGAGAAAACCTTAATATTGAGGGGCAGGGAATGTGAGCCTAGACTTTGTACATAGCAAGCTTCTAGGTTGGTACTACTTGGCCACGTAGCTTAAGCTTCTAGGTTGGATGAATGAGGGTAAAAACTTTAATACTGAGGCTAAATAAATTTCAAAACTACTTGTAAGCAGTTAAACTTTATTGGATTCAAATCCAATAAGATAATTTAGACTATATATATTAAATATATTAGTTCAAATAATTAGTATGGGATTATGGGCTTACATAATTGCATTAATGATATAAGTCCAATATATATAGATTAAATAAAGGGATTTTTACTTTCCTATACCATATATGAAACCTTATTACCCTCAATGTTTAAGGTTTGAGTTAATTACATTTCAGCATACCAAATTACCATTTATATACCATAATTAATTTAGAGGTATAATTAATTGGCAGTTTTTTACTCCTTAATTAAAGGTGTCCATATATCCCACGTTTCTCTCTCTCCTTAATTCCCAAGATCTGACCAGCACTGTTTTCCCCCTCCCATTTTTTTCTCTTCTCCATTCCTTCTTCTTCTCAAAAAATACAGAGATGAGACCCATTTTTTATAATCAGATTTTTAGCCAAAGAGATTCAATATGAAACCCATTATAAATCCCATACAATAATAACGCCAAATACTGGCGGTGGTTGTGGCTGTGGCCAACACCAATTTGGTACATATACAACCCTGAAGATTCCATTAAGGAGTAGTCATGGGCCTTTGACAAGGATGAAGATGGAATAAGAAAGATTGGTTTATTTGTAGTTTTTTTTTTTTGAAATTTTCTAGATGAAGAGAAAATTTTGTAGTCAACATATTTTTTCAACATAGATTATAGTTTAATTGTAGTAATTTTATAGATACCCTTAAAAACAATACAACTTTATACAATACTTAAACTGATTTGTAGTTTATTTGTAGAAATTTTGTAGATAAAGAGAAAATTTTGTAGTCAACATTTTTTTCCAACATAGATTGTAGTGTAATTGTAGTATAAATGTAGTAATTTTGTAGATACCCTTCAAAACAATACTGCTTTATACATACGTAAACTGATTTGTAGTTTATTTGTAGATTTTTTGTAGAAAATTTGTAGATTAGGAGAAAATTTTGTAGTCAACATTTTTTTTCAACATATATTGCAGTTTAATTGTAGTATAAATGTAGTAATTTGTAGATACCATTAAAACAATATTGCTTTATACATACTTAAACCGATTTGTAGTTTATTTGTAGATTTTTTGAAGAAAATTGTTGACTGGAGCTAGAGGAAGGAAACTTTGATTCTCTTTTTCTTCTTCATGGGAGACTCCCCGAAATCAGATTCCAATGTATCTTCAGGCGCAACTAATTGCTGGTGAATCTCGGTAATGGATGATGTTGGAGACATGAGTTGACTTACTGGGCGTGGATTAAAAGTTGCAGGGCGAGGACGTGAAAAATGAGGAAATAGAAGCCTGCAGAAAAAGGAGGAAACAAATATAATGTGAATATGAAAAAATATTTAGTCCCAAATTTTTAGGCGCCTAATTTGGAAGGAATAAGCTATTCAAATATTTATCCCAGATTTGTAGGCGCCTAATTTGGAAGGAATCAACTCTTAATATTGGGTATTTAATGAATGGTATAAATTTTGTAGGAAAAATATAAACATGGCGGGTAATAATGGAATTATGCACATTTTTAGTAATAAGGTTTCATATATGGTATAGATAGGAAAAAATCCCTTAAATAAATAAGTCTTACTCCATTGGGGCAACTCATTTAATTGGGCTACAAATGATAAGTCCACTTCATTAAGCCCAAGATCTCATCTTCCTTGACGTGGCGCGCCAAGTCCAACTAAAGAGCCAATAGGATCCTGCTTGCCACGTGTCAAAATGACAAGGCATGCCAAGTCAAATTAAAATGCCAATGAAACTGCGCCACATGCGCAAGTGACGTGTTCTGGCCAATCAAACGCGGCCTTGTCACACTTCAATTTGATTGGCCGGAAAGAATTTGTTCTTATCATAACTCTTCCCTCCCACAACTATAAATAGGGGTCTTCATAAACTCGGAAAAGACACCAGAAATTATAACAAGAAGCAAGAGAGAGCTCGTGGATTAAACGCCGCATATTTCTCTACAAGTTTCAATCTTCAAGCAATCAAGTTCAAGTTCAAGCTCAAGAACGAAGAACAAATCAAGGTTCAATGAGTACTAGTTCAAATCGAAGTTTGTGCTAGTTGAATTCAAGATCATCATTCGTGGCAAGTGGCAACAAATATAGATTCAAGATCAAGCTCAAAGGCCC